AACATTAACTGAAATGCCTTAGAATCAGTAAAAGATAATTTTAGCCTAGCTTATACGGTCCGTTATACATTAAACGAGCATGCGTAAAGCATACAAAAAAAATGTTCGTGGTTTTGGGGTCCGGATTATAGATCATTGTGGATAATGGACATCTGGATTATGGACTTTATACTGTATATGGTAAATAGGGACTTTTTAAGTTCAGCATAGAAAAATAACTCAGAACCTTACAATGGAGCTAAAAATTTATTTACTAAACAAGGCAAAAGTTGATTTACACACAGAACATTTTAAAATATTTTATTTGCTTACTCATTAAATATTACATATATATGAAAATTGCCAAATTGTACATATAAAGATTATTCTTCATAGTCAAGAATGTGCATTTTTTTGTGGAAAACTGGTTTAAAATCACTTTTATCACTTGAAGATGCTACTTCACTCTCGTTCAGAGGACATTTATGGTGATACACTGTAATCGGTGATAATTTTTTGTGATGGTGATTGTCTGATTAGCTACTTGTACTACCATATTTCTGCAATGAAAATTTCAAGGGTGAGAAATTACATCAGTAGATTAATGAATCAGTAGATTAATAATGTGCGTAATTTCTCTATTTTCTTTTGCTAAACTACATCATTTTGATGCAGTTTTTTATTTCAAGCTTCATTCTGAAAACCTGTGGTAAACCCCATACTGAAACTGTGATACAATATGAATATATCTTTTGTAATGTGATGATGTAATATTGAGTTAGTCATCTGTTGGTTTCCTTTTAAATTGCATGTTGTTTTTACACTATTAGCCGTCAGTTGCTTTCTCTTTACGTTTTTATTACTTTTATTCGTATTATGCATTTTAATGGACCTTTTTTATATACTGCATTAAAAAAACACCCTCTTCACCTGAAACAAAAAGAGCACATAAAGACAGCTTTGAGTGTGTTCTAAAGTTTTATGTATTTTTATTTAGTTTTTGGAAAGGTTTTTATTTTAGGTTCAATTTGTGTAATTTTATATTATTAATTAAATATAATCTGGTTCATTTATATTAGGTTTATTTCATTTTGTTTTTAATTAAAATAAAATTTCACATTTTTCTTATTATTTCTTACCATAATTTTTCTTAAAATAAAAATTCTGTTGTAATGCCTATGAGTTTATGTCTATCTTTCAGCATGATATTAATGTCAAGGGAAAGTTTCTCTTTGATTCGTTATCTCAGGAAAAGTACAAAGAACATTTTATTTGAAAAAAAATGCTCACTAAGTGGTTCACTTAGGACCTTCTCAACTAGGCATCACTTCTCAACTAGACATAAAATTTATCAGAAAAAAAGGCTTTGGCGAAGAAGCTGGAAATATATCACTTTTGGTCTTGTGGCAGTTGCCCCCCCTTTATATTATGGGACATTGAATTCACATGAGAAAAGACAAATTAAGATCCTTATTTCTGGAATTTTACGTTTTTTAAGGTGTGTTATATTTTAAGTACTACCTGTTTTTTTATTAAAAATTTTTTCTCATTTTAAAAAGTCTGAGTTTTTCTGAGAGAAAATGCAACTTAGTCATAATTTTTTAACACAGTGGAAAGTGTTATTATTTTCACATGTTAATTTTTGTCTTTTGTGAATAACGTTATGGCAACAAAGTGAATCATTTAAAAAATTATTTTGTGTACATATTTTAAAAACTTTTTGTAATGGATGTTATTTTATACCATTATTGTAATAAATAAAATATGTTTCTAAAATAGGTCATTTGCAATTGGCTATAGCTCAGGCACATACTTTCGTCTGTGCCAAAATTAAAATGTAATGACAATGTTGAAATTTAAAGCAGCATTTTACAAACCTTTATAGATGTGTTTTGTTTTTCGTGTTTTAGTCAGATTATAATATATTAATCCAAATTATAAAAAAATATATATATAACATTTTGGTTATTTTCTTATTTGTATGTGTTTTGTGTTGAAAAAAAGAATGCGGAGACAATTGTCAAGCTTTCAAAGTAGATTCTTTAGTTTCAATTTGAATTAACAGTAAGTCTTCACTTTTAAAAAAAGTTGGTAATATTCTTATTTGCTTGATGGTAAAATTCCCTCTGTAGTGTTAAATTGTGAAGCGAAGTCCCATGTATATTGAAAAGTTTTCCAAACAATTTTTTATTTGATTTAAATTATGCAGGCAAAAAATTTTTCTATGTAGATTCATGCAAAACTAATATAATAATCTCCCAGCTTGCAGTTATGTAGGTGTACAGAGCCAAACATATAGCACATTTAAACTGAAACCTACCAATGAAAAATAAGAACTGTGTAAATATCTGTTTCTTTTCCCAGTTTGTACTTCTTGCTTTTAAATAATATTCAAATATATATTTTAGTCATTTCTTTATGCTTATTTTACATTAAAAATGGAATCAAAATTCAAAACTGAATCTTCAGTTATTTTAGAAGAGAAGATGAAAATAAATTGTGTACAGAAAATGAAAGAATGAATTGAGCAATAGCTGGGAATATAAATTGACTTGAATATGCATTTTCAAAGCACATATTAAGCATAATAGTTACCAAAAAAAGAGGTTGGGCTAGATTTCAGAGATGGAAAACTTCTGATCTCACTGGATTGAGGGTCTGATACAGGTGCAGGTAATATTGAAGTTGTCTGATTATGCAAGAGGATAAGAGATCTTTATATAAAGATTTATAAGAGAAAGCCAGCATTGGAACATTGAGCGGTATGAGAATTTTAGCAGCCATATCCATTCCAATATATCTGTAGGTTCATCTATGATGACAAAAAGCATGTGATAATATATATTATATAATTTTAATCTTACTGTATTTTCAAGATACTGCCTATAGCAACATCAAGATGACAATTGATTTGATACAAGTTACCTTGCAACATCAAGAGGGGTAGAAGTTGCCAGAGAACAGCATATCATTTCACAACTACCCACCTTAATTGCCTTCTTTCTTCACCCCCCTCCCCACAGAGCCAAATTAGCTGTCAAAACACATTTTTTATTCGAAAAGTATTAGTTTCTTTTCATTTCTATTGCATTTTTTCATACTTTCATACATTTATGTAAATAAATATTGCCATAAGATGTTTAATATCTAAAATAGTAATGTGAGAATAATATATATACAGTCAAAAGTCTTTAATACGGAATGATCTATAATCCGGACCTCAAAGCTACAAACTTTCTGCACAAGCGGAAATGCATGACGCATGCATGTAATACCTTTACGCAGGCATAATCGGATGCATGAGGTTTAATGTTAATGGACGGTATAAGCTAGCTAAAATTATCTATATCTATTTCAGTTAATGGTGAGAATTGTGTTGTTCTTAATATTCGAATGGATCCAGCTTATTATTTTTTGCAGACTGGTAGCCAATTTTATAAAAGTAAGCTGAACTGTGATTAGGATCTCAAGTGAAGCATGTTCGATGTCCATCAAACAGAAAGTAGAATTGCTGTAAAAAATGGATAAAGGCTCTTTTGTTTCTCTACCCATTCCGAAATCTGTTTATCAATTTCACGCTGCACTGTGCGGGGGGGGATGTCGAGGCGCGCAATGATCTGGAAGTTGATCTGGCAGCACTATCCTAATCTCCAGGACAGATGTTTTTATTTTATTCAGCTTAAATTCCTTACTAAATGTAGTATTTCATCTCGATGTATCGTCTTTGATATTTATCAATTCTCGTCATACAAATATCACAAATACCATCAAATAGTTTTGGTTGCATTTTCTAATTTCAACTATGATAATGTATGCTTTACGCTGCGCATGTTGAAAGAAATGCTTAATAAAGTAAAGAATATCTAAGCTTTTTTTTTTTTTTTTTTTTTTTGTAGTAATTGAACCTTTAGATCATAGTGCTCTTATTCATAATTACGGTTCAATTTTTAATTTTATTTTTCTGCCCTCTTCCAGATTTAAACTGATGATCTATATCCGAATCGCTGAAGTCCGACGAGTCCGGATTAAAGACTTTTGACTGTATATATATTCAATTTCTTTTGAAAACCAAATGTAAATATGCATATTATTTATTAATTATGTATTTCAATATTTGGTCTTTTTGAAATATTAGTTCTAAATTTCTTACTTTATGTCTTTGGTTATATATGTACATAAAATAAAAATTGCAGATTCTAACAAAGTAACACTTAAGCAATTTATATGAAATTCAAATTGTGTAAGTGTTTATAGAATGCATTATTTACCTAACATGTTGGGTGAGTTTTTGTAAAATGTGAAAGTTTTTGTGATATATATTGTTATTCATCATGTTTTAGAACATGTTATTCATCATGTTTTAGATCTCTGAAAGTTGGAATGACAATATCATTAGATTATTGGTTCAGATTGTTTGGACTAAATGAGGTAAGTTTCAAATATAAACCTTGTCTGTGATAAGGGATTTAAAAAAAAATTATCTTAAATATAATCTTTTTCTAAATATTTTTTAATGTTGTGGTTCTGATAAGGGTAATGAATAATATTTTCAGACCCACAAAAGATTCTGTTCAGTTGGTTAGTATTTAAATGTAATTTTAATAATTGAAATTAATTTCATTTATGATATTAATGCATTTATGTGATGATATCAAGTATAAAAATTAACAAATTATTAGAAAAATTAAAAAAGGTGTTTATTTATTTTTTTAATCTAGATAATTAATTATTAATACTTAATTTTGCCTTATGAAAATTGAAATTTTCTGTGACCTATCACTGCTATATTTATACTGTAATGGAACAGGTGAAATCTTGTTAATGCAATCATCAAACACAGCCACTGCAGTATGAGATCTTCTGATTTGCATGAAAAGTTAATCGTCGTTGAATAGAGAATGTTTTCTAAAAAGTTAAAATGTCATTTATTTAATGCTTTTAAATCATAGAAAAAATTAATGGGAAAAATTGGTTTATCAAAAATATTAGGGACCTAGCTTAATTTGATGAAACACTACTGGTACAGTTGTAAAACAAACTTGAAGAATTTTTTTTTTTTAACTTTATAAATAGGATTCTAAAGAATATGGTATGGCTTTACAAGGATGCCACCAACGATCTGCTGAAAGACTCTTGCATGGTTGTTTACTTAATGGGGGACTCTATGTTAAGTTAGGACAAGGTCTTGTTTCATTAAACCATATTTTGCCTCGGCAGTATGTTGATGTTCTATCTGCTCTTCATGACAAAGCCCTCACTCGAACTGAAAAAGAGGTTAGTAAGATCAATTAGTTTTATTTCATTTTATGAAATATAAAATGTTTATCTTTAATCTTTAAATGAAAGAAACATTTTCTGCATTAAATCCATTGTTTATTTTCCTGTTTAATTGTTTATAATTCACCTATCCCAGTCATGAGTGATGTAATTGATACTGACAATAACTAAATGATACCTCACATAATTAATGCCTCTTGCAATGAACGTCCCACATAATAATGTCAATGTAGATATCATCATGTGTTATTAACATGTTAAATGGGGAGCTTATCCACATTGTAAATACAGAAAGAAAAAAGATTGAACAAAGGTAGCAAGCAAAGCAGCAAACAAGTAAATCTTTTTTTTTTTTTTTTTTTTTTTTTTTTACTATCATATCACTGTTAAACCATTGCAAGCCCTCTTTCACTAGAAACAGGAGGATACTTGGGGAGTTTCCGGAGTTTTTTTTCCTTGTTATGCAAAGGAGAGCACAAAGAGTGAGTGTCAGCCATCAAGCACATTCTGATGAACTGACAAGATGTCTGTTGTGAATATAGTAAATCATTTTTTTAAGAACCTCAAATAAAACTTTAATCAACTAAAACTGCACATAAAACAGAACATCAGATACTACGTTGTGAGAACAACATTTAAACAAAGAAGAACTGTTACCATTCCATGTAATATAATTTTAGTGCTATCACTAATAATAAATAATTAATACCACCTTTGCTCCTCCCATAGAGTATTAATAAGTAGTAATGTACGGCATATAAGAAGACTGACATATCTCTCTCTTCAGATGCAAGGATTCGTTCTCATGCAAGTTATCATTTGAAATCTTTCCAAGAGCCTCATGTCTGCTAGGGCACAGTAAATCACTGCCTTAGGAATCGTCTTCTGTTGATTTTCTTACAGTTTTTTGATAAAGGTTTAGGAGCTTCAGTGGCCAAATCTTCATTTTGTTGAGCAAAAGAATCTGAAAGTTGCTTGTTTTCATCTAAGCTGATATTATGGGCATGTATAGAAATAATTTTAATTCTATTTAATAATTAATTTTGAAATAATTTTAATTCTATTTGTGAAAGGAGTATCTCATGTAGGTTCTAAATATTGTATTGAAACATTGGTTTCATTACCATTCGGAAGTTTAACATAAGCATAAAAATCTGGGTTTGCCTCAATGAGCTTTACTTTCTGCACAAGAGGCTCATATATTGTTCTTCATTAATACTGTTCCGGGCTGTGTTACCATGCAGGTAAAGAGCATTCATTATATCATTTTCTGCAGTATGGGTTAACATACGTTCATGACATTTGTTGCTGCACATGACAGTGAGTGAATGGAATGCAAAACAGGTTGTAGAACTCCTTCTCAATGTTCAATAGCCATTTTCTTTGATTTTAGTGCCAACTGAATGGTTTTCCCTATGATTCTGTTATAGCTGTTTACTTGGCCATTTCATTGAGGATTGTATGCAGTTGTGCGACTTGTTGGTATACCAAGTGAAGTTAAGAATGATTTTAACCCTCCAGGCGGCAAGGCCGTATATATGCTTTTGAAAATAATGGCTCTCATAGCGGCAAGGCAGCATATATGCGTCCAAATATTTTGGTCCTCATGGCGGCAAGGCAGCTATTACGTAAACTTAAATTTTGGCACGAAACGGCAAAGCAGCATATATATGGCTTTCAGAGTGCCCTCCCCGCTCTGCTCTAATGTGACTGACAGGTGATATTTTCTGCGTAGTATGAGGAGAGGAACTATCTATTCGATAGGGGCAATGGGTTTTATCGTTAGGTTTTGAACATCGGAATTAATAGCTCGTCCAAACTCCAGCGTCCGCTGTTCTGTGCTTATACCAGTATAGTAAACTAAAGGTTTATGTTCGTAAAGAGAATTTCTTTCAGCCTATTATTCTCCAAATTTTATATGCGTGGGCAAAGTAATTGGAATTAACATAAATTGCAAAACTGCACAATTTTGAATATGTGATTTCAATTATATTGCAATTGTAATTAGCTTCGCATTACAATTAGAAAGTAAGTACTTTTTAAATGCAACAATAATGTATGTATTGCAGTTAATTTTAATCTTACATACAAGCATATAATCACAAACATTATATTTATAATCAATTACAATTACAATTTTATTGCATCTATCACACAGGTATATTAGTAATTAACGTAATTTTAACGCAATGCAGTAGGTAATTATTCTAGTATAGGAAAGTAATTGTCTCTGATAATAGATACTTACATAGTGAATTATATCTAATTGTAATTTAAGTGTATATGCAATTGTAATAAAATTATGCATTACTAAGTAGTTATAGTTCAAAGTAGTGTTTTTTAATTACATACAATTTACCGTAATTTAATTTAAATACAATTCTCTATATTTGTGAATCCAATTTCATATTCATGCAACGGCAATCATAAATCTATTAAAATTACACTGTCTTGTAACTCCTGTAGTAATTATAATATGATTAGATAGCAATTGTTTCTGATAAAACATTTACGTAGCCCAGCAAAATCAGATCTTAATTGCAAATGAATTGCAGAATGCAATTGAAACACATGTAAAATAATATTTGCAATTATCTTGTAATCACAATGTAATTTTTAATTACATATACAATTTCTCAAATGATTTTAATTATAATTGCATTTAATGTGAAATCTAATTGATAAACAGTATACTGTATAATAATCTAAAAAATACAATGCAATTGTAATACCTTATTAAAATGCGCAGCAGATGATTGTAATATTTATCAGAAAACAGTGCCCTATAATTCAGGACATAGGCTAAGGAATCGGATAATATTTGAAAATTACAGTCAATAATATTATATTGATGTTTCTGCATTTTGGATAATAGTTTTTAAATAATACAACGGAAATCACCTATAAAAAATATTAATATTTTCTGCATGTCTTCTGAATCATCTTACAATATTGTATTTGGGTACACAAATAGAGCTTATTAAAGGAAATTTTTATATAGACGAAAGCACAAAGTTATTAACATTTGTATTTTATGATCTTCGATTACATGTGATTAATTACAGATTAGGGAAGCAGCAAAGAGTTTATGCCAGTGCAAGGTTTTCGCAAAGGATTTGTTCGGAGGCTGTCTTGTTTACATTACACAAGAATAATCATAACTTACTTTATCCTTTTCTTTCAGAAAGGAGATCATCAGACTAACTAAGTCTCATAATTTTTATCCACTATTGCTTAGCTGTAAGGTCTGATCACAATCATATGCTTAATTGCTTTGTATTAGATTTTATTAATCCATTATTATGAATTACCACCAACAGTAAAGGGTTCGTGACTCTGGTGCCGTACCGAAGCTCCGGGGTTGAATCCGGTAGGGCATAATTGTTTTGCGTCTCTTATAGGTGGCAACGGTGCCACGTATTAATCACCCTTAATAACATGACCGGCCTAGAGTATCAATGTCTATAACGGCTACTACCGCATTGGAAAAAAAAAAAATTACGAATTGGTCTTTATCAATACACACATTTCCATAAATAGTTAAAATGCATTATCAGTTCAAGTGAAAGTCTTGCATGAACTTTTCATCATTTTTCAGTAAGAACAATAAAAGTACAATTCTTATGCCCTGAATGTCATATATTTGATACGCAAAGACTGCAAAGATTCTTTGTGGAGGACTTCTAGGGAAACTGGCTCATGTTACATCACCCGTTATAAAAAAGGAAAAGATCTTTATTTATTGAATGCAATAACGTTTAGAGTGATGTACTCATGAGACTTTCTAAATAAAATGATTTATTATGTCACATAGGAATTCCACAAGCTATCTAACATTTAGATTTTTGCCAAATGGATCCGATTGAACTGTAGTATCAAAGACGATTATTACTCTGCTGTGAAAAATCTAATTGCTTTTGAAGTTTTATATGAATCAAACAATCATTGTATTAAATTATTATTATTTTTTTTTAATTTTTTCCCCAATGCAGATTGGGACGTTACAGTGCAACACAGTTCATAGTCTATACAGCCAGAAGTTGCAGCATTTATAGGAGGCATCGATATGTGGGCCCATCGCCTCCTATAAGGACGAACAGTAAAGCCTGCCTTCTCCGGATTCAAACCAGGCACTCGATATCGCGTCAGGCTTCCTAACCTACATCTGGGCGGCACAATTACAATTAAATGCATTAGTTGTAGTTTTAACTACAAAGTAACTACAATGAATTACCAGCTTTTCTCAGTCAATAACAGATAGCTTAAACTTTAAAGATAAATGAAGGTCTTATAATTTGCGAATGGCAATATTCTAAGGAGTGTAGTCTCCAGGATGGTCGAGTTTAATTACAGTCTTACATTTCGCATACTCGCAGCACTTACCCAAGGCTGTTCCAGATTATTTCTGTTCACCTCATCCATTAATTTTGGAGACAGAATCATGTCTAGAGACATTTTTTTTTTTAGGACAGTATTTTATATATAGAAAAAAAAATAATGCGTCTCCTCAAGGTGCAGAAAACAACGAGTACTGATAAATTTAATTGAAATTACAATTATAATTCTAGTTAATACAGATACACTTTTAGAATTACATTATAGTTCTAATGGCAAAAATGTCAAATGAGTGTTATAGATTCGTATACTTTTATCTTATCACAATATTAAACTTTTAATACAGTTTTATTTTATTTATCAATATCACAATAATGAGCTTCTTAATACCATCAGTATTGAAAAAATGTTTTACTACTGTCATGAAATGTATATTCAATAATATTTTCTCACTGCTGTTTTTTCTTATATATTTTCTGCATAATTCATAAAAGTTTGCAATGGAAACAATTCTGAGGCTTTTATAATACTTCTAAATTTTCATGAAATAAAGTTCCGTTAAGGTTTACTTGAAGGAGACTCTCAGTGCAAGCACTCGAAAAGAAGTTATGCTACATTTACATATTAGAAATGGTTGAATGTCAGTATTTACGTGTAACAGC